ATAGATAGAGACACACACACACACACACACACACACACACACACACACACACACACACACACACACACACACACACACACACACACACACACACACACACACACACATGTTCAGTGCACCAGGTTCATGGATGTCTGAGTGTGATCTTTTTCTACTACAGTATTTGCACTAATCCAAGAGCATGTCCACGAATTAATTCTTGTTTGTATCTTTTCTTCCTAAATGGATTGTAGTAACCATCCTGCAATATCTTCTAGAGCACTGGTTCTTAACCTTTGTTACTCAGATGCTTTTGGACTGCAACTCTCAGAACCCTTCACCATCAGCTCTGCGTGCTGGGGTTTCTGGGAGTTGCAGTTCAAAAACACCTGAGTAACAAAGGTTAAGAACCACTGTCCTAGAGTAGTGCATGTATTTTATGCTCCTCCAGAATAATCTTGTTCAAAGAGCTCACAGAAACAGTTGTGAAGAAAAGCAGCCACCTCTGCTGACTCATTAATTTGTGCCGTGGTTTCTGTTTTGCCATTTTGCTTTGCAGTAACAAGTAGCTGCAGTGCATCATAGTAGACATTAGGAACCAGAACAATGGTCCCCAATATGTGTCTTGTCTATTTGTACTGAGAATTTTTTTTAACCACCAAAAGCACCCTTTATTCAGAACACAACTAATTTGGGGTTGTTTTTTTTTAACCTTGTAGAATGTTTTTGGGAATTCTGTGCTTGTAATCAGCTTGCCTTTTCCTGTGTTATTTTAAAAAGTAGCATTAATTCAATTAACTGCTACCTTTTTGTCCCCATAGCACTGCTTTTTGGTGGAGTCACTAATCCTGCTCATCCCAAACATATTGGGAGTATTGATCCTACTTGTAATGTGTCTGATGTAGTGGAAGGTAAGATTGCTTTGAATTTAAAAGTGATAGTGTATCTGTGCTTTTAAGCAGAGATGGGCATGGACCTCCATTTGGAGGTTTGTGCTGGTTTGTAAGCACAGCACCATAGTGCCACACATTCCTGTCCCCCACCTCCCAAGGAGGCAGGGCTGGGAAGTCTATATTCCTGCTAGGGGCTGGCTGAACAACTGGAGAGGAAGAGGAGAGAAGCTCACGCCCTGGTGATGGGGGAATCCAGCAGGGGAGGTCAGGGAAAGGAATGCATGGCACCTGTAGTGCCACACTTACAAACTGATACAAAACGTCAAACCAAGGTTCATGCGCATCTCTATTTTTAATATGAAGGCCAACGGCTATCAGTTTTTCTCTTTTCCCCTGTAGGCATTACTCCTTCACTGATGCCAACCATGGTTAATAGCAGTCACATTTTTAAACCAGAAACTTTCAGACCCTGTTTAAATTGGGGGTCTCTGTTGGTAGTGTAGTGATCTCAGTAAATCAGGATAAAAACAGAGCGAGGGAGAGAAGAGTCTTGGCTCTGAAGAATGAGAGAGAAGGGGAATATTCATCCCCAGGGATGATTTCTAATTTGCCAGCCCTGGTTTACAAAGGACTAACTTTACTTCAAGACATCAGAGCTTGTGCAAAAAAGTGACTAGCCAGGATTTTGAGACTTTAACATTCCCACCTTTAAATCTATTTGCTTCTTACCTTTGCCTGATTTTTAATTTAGAGCACCCTCAGTCTTTTTCTTTAACTGTACTTCAGACCTTCAATACTTTGTTATAGTTCTAAACAGATGTGCCTTCACATGCTACCTTTTCTGTTCTTCTGACTGCTATTTTAGAAAATAATTCCAAGTGATGTTTCATTTGTGCTGCCATTTAGTCAGTACTCATGTATTTATTTATTTATTATTTTATTTTATTGTCATTGTAAGTATATATACAGTATACCCATACAATGAAATTCACAGACACCCAGAGACCAGACACATGCACACATAAAATTCCCCAAACACTCCCCACCCACTAAAAATCCCCCAACACTCCCCACCCCCTAAAAGTACCCAATAAAAATACAAACATCTACACCACAGGACAAGTAACACAGTCCAACTAACTATTCACTACTGGTGGTCTTTAAGCTCATTATTAAGTGCAATTATAGCTCTGGGATATATGAGGGAGGAGACAATGTAAATATATAAATACAGATGTACCTCAGTTTACAAATGCTTGGTTAACGTGATTTTTGGTTTACAAAAGAAAATCCATTGAAAAGAATGCCTCGGTTTACGATTTTTTTCATAATACGAAGCAAGTTTTCCCAGGATGCATTGCACCTGAGAGGTTTATAGAGCCGCCCTGTGCATGCGTTCCTATGGGAAGCCACGTTTCAGTTTGCGAATTTCTCGCTATACAAAACGTCCCGGAGAATGCATTGAATTTGTAAACCAAGTTACTCCTTTAAGTAAAAAGTACTGCAGGCCCTGGCTGATTACTGACAGGACAGATTCTGTAACGTACCGACGTTCTTTGTCACTAGATGGAGATATAACATAGTTAAAGTAGCAAGAAATGTAATCTTTGTGATCTTACTGAAGTTATGTTGATTAGTACTTCTTCCTCTTCAGACCCAATAATCACTTCTTCAGACCCAATAATCACTTGCACTATTTAGTGTAACTTTATTTTTGCGTGTTTGTTGAAAACAAGTTAGTCCTGGAAGATGCTTAATATCACATTCTTTTATTTGTATGGATGTTTGCTTGAACTATATTCTAGAGTGTAAGAAGTATGTTAACAGCTTTTTTGTGCACAATGTATTAAAGACAGCATTGTTAACTACTGCTAAAATAAATTGATCTTACAGGCTAGGTAGCAATTATTAATGAATACCTTGGTTTACAAATTCAATTATGTGCGGTCATAATTTCACAGGCTAGGTAGCAATTATTAATGAATACTAATTATGTGCGGTCATAATTTTTACTTATGATTACCCTTTCCAGGATTTTCTAGGTACAAAATAAAGGAAAAAATCAAAGCATGCTGCTTATATACCACCACATAGTGCCTAAAGCACTATAGTTTACAATTTAATTATGCTACATGTTGCACCTCCAAGAAACTGGATACTCAGTTTGGCAAAGGAAGGATGGAAGGCTGAGTCAACCTTAAGCTGGCTACCAGATCAAACTCAGGTAGTGAGCAGAGTCTTCACTGCAGTACTGCTCCTTCCAGAGATTCTCTGTGCTGGTACAGCGTGTCTAGGGCCACACAAGTAGCTGGGCACATACCAATTGCTATTACCAAGAGCTATACCAACTTCATAAAAATTATATTTTTTGACTAAAGAGTGTTAAAACTTGGGCCTGAAAACCTGCTCTTTCAACTAGTAATTTTTTGCTTTTTTATCTAAGACACAGAATTTGGCATGTATTTTTATGCTGCGATTGGCTGAACTTGTGAAAATGAATTTTAGAATATTTAAAAACAAAGATTTGCGACTGCAAAAGAAAAATAGATTCCTAGTTTTTTCTGTTGGTGGTGCAGAATTGCAATGAATTTCCCATTCATTTATGGTTAAAATATTTTGTGTTTGGAATTTTGGAAACTGCAGCATCAAGGGGAAATGGGCATGTATTTCATCCTAGTAGAGCTAGGAATAAAGCTAGGAGAAGTTCTTGGAAAGGATCAGTTAAATCTATTAAACATTTTGAGAGAAAGCTTTAAACCCCTTTTTCCTTATTTTCCAATCAAATGAGGAGCTTTTCCATCAGCTGCTTAAAGCAAAGCAAAAGATATTCAGAATATCTAATCGTGGATTTTACATATTAAGCATAGCTTAGTCTTCATAGGAGCTATTTAAACTGATGGATACTTATACCTTTCTGACTGTTTACAAAGTTGCCTAGCTCTATATGTTTATTTTCTTCTCTTACAGATGCCTTTGCAACTGCTAAGATGTTGTGTGAGCAGTATTATCTGGTAGCTCCTGACTTGGAAATTGAAGAATTCAATGGTATCACTGAACTTTATTTCTTCATTTTGCGAAGAGAATTCTTTATTTTTACAGAAATCAGTTGCTGCATGTGTTGTTGAGATCAAGATTTTGCCAACTGTACATGAAACTTACCACAGCAGAACTTACCACTTCTCTTTTGCTACTTTCACTTTTTTAAAAGTCACAGATAACTAATTATTAGCTTTGGTAGAAAGTTAGTTAAGAAAATGAGTGAAACTCTAGGTGAATTACTTACGTATCTTTCATGACCTAGGATCCAGAAAAATACTAGATACCGTATTTTTTCCTCCGTAAGACGCACTTTTTCCCCTCCAAAATGTGGGGAGGAATGTCCGTGCATCTTATAGACCGAAGGCAGCAATTTCGTCGCCACTGGCCCCGTGGGGGGGAGC